GAAGCACTGTCTGACGCGTCTGCCTCCGCGACCCGAAAGGAGAAACGGCGATGGAAGATGAAGAAGATGATTTGTCCACGGCATGTCCAACCACTCTGGTACTTATAATGGTCATGTGCATTCGGCACATTTCCTCACTGTACTGTCAGTCCATGTCGAGTATTGTAGAGCGTTGAAAATTAAACTTTCTGCATTTAGTCCATCTATATTCAACAAATGCGCGATTACCGGTAACCAACATAATGGTACATGGTTAAAATATCAAGTAATGCAAAGTTTCCAAGTCCGATATGGAAGAGGGTTAGGTTTTTAACCCTGTACAATATATCAGTTTATAGGCAGAAAGTGCGCGATTTCCTTATGACAGAAACTATCGTACGGGCTTAAAATGTTGCAAATTCGTAAAACACGTTAACCCAAATTCTGACATAACCACACCTATGTACTCAACGTGTCCCATTGGACACTGGTTTAATTCAGATTCAATTTTGAATTTCTTTAATCATGAAATTTGGACCACGGCACGACCTACCTCTCTTGTACATATACCGGGCATGTGAATCCGGCACATTTCGTCACTCTACTGTCAGTCCATGGGGAACATTGCGGAAGATTGAGAATTTAACCCTCTGCGATTAATCCATCGATATTCAACAAATGCGCGATTACCTTGTAAGCAGCATAATGATACAGGGTCAAAATTGCAAGTAACGCGAAATTTCCAAGTCCGATATGGTGCAGAGTTAGATTTTCAAACCTGTACAATATATCTCTTTAGAGGTAGAAAGTCCGCCATGTCCTTATGACGAAAAGTATTGTACAGTCTTAAAATTTTGCAAATTCGTAAAAACACGCCGACCGAAATTCTCAAAGCGCCATCGTATGTATTCAACCTGTTCAACTGAACACTGGGCCACCTCAGGTTCAGTTTTGAATTTTTTTTATTCATGAAAGTTTCACCACCAAGGTAATCGAGTATTTGTTGCGCATAGATGGATTAATTGTAGAGGGGTTAAGTTCTCAGCCCTCCGCAATGTTCGACGTGGACTGACAGTAGTTGGGATATTACAACGGCAGAGTTGAACAAAACTTCTCGCATAATTAGACGAGAATATGAATGTAAATAATTCTCCTCGAAATTTCGGTTAGTACGTTTACCCTGATTTGTGATATCGTAGTGGATTGCTGATTAGCAGGTTATTCTCTGTGTATAACCTATATCTACAGTGCCGGACATTAATTATTGGAAGTAGTGTTCCTTATTTGATCCGTGAAATGTTTGTGCTTTCTAATTTGTGCAAACTCGGCTGAATTATTAGCATTTGATTGAAGTTATAATACGCATATAATGGTTGTCATTGTTATTGATTACTTTGCTACGATTTTGATCTGAATGTCCAATGGTCGTTTTCTGGGCTGTTTATATTGGTCTGGACGTAATGAATTTTCACTTGTTTGTCGTTGGGGTTTGTCTAAAGTGAAAGGTAAGTTTTCTAAAAATCAATATAATTAGTTTAAAAAACAAAAGCAGAAAGATTCAATGTGCTCTGTATGACTGCAGTCTTGTTCCTGCTGCCTGCGATGTTGTGTTTTGTAGTCTAGCTTTTTATTTTACTTAGTGCTAGCACCTCCTCGGAAGCGCTTGTTTTGGTCATAAGTAAGTTAATATTCTGACGGTAATCAGTGCATACTGTGATTGCTCGCGTAGTTCAAGTACTGACGAGTAACTGTTGTAGCTTTTCTTAGGAGTGTCTTTTCTATTCATGTTTGATTTAGATGCCTTCAAGAACTTCAGTATAAAAGAAAATACTTCTCTTACTCGCCAGCTTCTTCACTTCGATAACTTATCTTTTTTGTGTATATATTTGGTCGTGCATCAATTTGTTGAAAACCTGGCGCGAACTTCTTTTATTTTCACAGAGTGCACTACAGATGTTGTACGAGCGGTATATTGTAACGGTTGTACCACGTTTTAGGTGGTACTTCGCTGTAAGCGCATATTTTGGTTTCATGAGTACTGAATATTAAACTTCGATTTAAAGTTACTCCCTTAGACTCTCCCATTGTTATCGTAAATCTTCAGATATTTGGAGAATACTACTTCAAACGAATTGCAGGCAACTTTTAATGTACTTCTTGTTTGAGCGAGCGTGCACTTTTTGTTCACGGTTTGTACATTGGCAGTGGATAACTGTGGGAAGAAGGATGGCAAAATCTGAATGAAATTGTTACCTTTCGTATTAGTAAACCTCGATATTACTGAACTGTTAGTTTTCAATACCGACAGCAATGATAACATTTTCCTGTAATTCTCTGGATTTACACGGCATTGTTGCCTGTTCCAGTACCTTGTATTTGTCTAATGAACCGTTAAGCAAGTCACAGCTCCATTCTGCTTTAGCACGTGCAGTGCATGGGCACAATACGGCACCACTTGTTGGGTCTGACAAATACGTTCGCATACCAGCGGATTTATCTCGATCAGTCGGTGCACAGAATAGAAATAATCTCCGGTATTGTGGGTTTGCAAGAAAACTGCTCGTTTTCTACGTAAAATTGACAGGAGATTGTTGTTCGTTTTCTGCATATTATATGAACATTTTATTTTTTTCTCTTTGTTTCGATGCAGCCAAGTTTCGATACAGCTTGAAAAGTGTTTGAACCGCTTATGTATTGTCAATGGATGAGCCTTTTCTGATCTTTTTGTTCCTTATGATGCCTTTAATGCACATATACTTATGTATTTAATTTTTAGAATGCATGAAAAGGTGCTAGCAAACTTAGGAACGTAGAGCGTCAGACTAGCTGTGATCGTTCTGGCTTCCACGTATCAGGTTATGAACTGAAAATATGACCAGTGTGTTTGAATCCGATGAAATCCTCGCATACTTGCTCAGAGGAGTCGGCTGGGGCTGTTGGCCCAAAGAAAGTTCTCCCGGAATTGCGGCCCTTCACCGTCGTAACGGTAGTTCTAGTGCTGTTGGTTGCCGCAAGTTGGTTTTGTCAAATGGCTTCGCCTTGTACATCGTGGGCAGTCGCAGCTGCAGGAAGACCCTTCACCTCGCGACGACGCGACGTTGTTTCTGTAGACAGAAGACCTCGCGCGAATTCGGACTCGTTGTTTCCGCACTCAAGCACACTCGTCATCATTATCCGCGTTCCTTGTATCTTGCGGATTTTGGGTCTTTTGCTGGCTGCTGTGCCGACTTCCGGGTCGCCTTGATCTCGTCCACCGACAGAGGATTCGAAGTTCCGTGCTTCAAAACTCTGGAAATAAGTAAATTTTCCTATTATCTTTTGCGCTGTCAGAGGTATTAATGCTAGAGTTCTTTTAAAATTCACGTGAACAGTTTAATGGGTTTCAAAAGAATACTGTCGCTGAGGGATTACAGAACTTGTCGCCTGATTCCTTCAGTGCTTTCAGTTGATACCCTTGTAACATGTAGTAGCATGAATGAAGTGGAAGCTTGCACAGTTATGAAAGTCACGTGATTTGAAAGCAGAATCGTAGGTGACAGCATTGTACAACCGAAAAATGGCCTTCAAAAACCCCAGAGAGGTTGCTCTTCACCGCTGTTTGTACTGACCAGTTTTTCTATTCATAGTCTTACGCCTTGTGGCTGCTCTCTGCTGATAATTTACACTCGATGTTATTTCTGTTTTGTTTTGCAGGCAACTAAAGAATTAGAACGTTCACAATATTCAAGAATTAAGACCATCGTCTTTTTATTTCAGAATGAATAGCATAATTTAGTAGCTTCATTCATAATTGTCATAGTGATGTTTTACACCGGCCCTAAGCGCGGTTCAGGAAGGAGGACAGTCGAAGACCGTGGCAAAGTCTCCGTGAAAGTTCGCCATCTCCCACTCATTGTATTGACGCCATCGAAAATTATATCGGCTCGGTCGTCGCCTGGATTACCAACACTCGCGCAGCCTGTCGGCGGACTGCGGCAGACTGGGAAAAGTCGGCGATCAGAACCTGTTCATTGCCCTCTACCAGCCGGGAGCATAGCAGCACAATAACGGCTGATGAACACCGACGACAAAACTACCAGTCAGCAACGGAATTGCTATCCGTTCTGAACGGAGGAGGCAGACAGAGCGATGCCATTATAACACGTCAGAAACGGCTACGCGAGAACGACATCACCAGTGGGAGCTTAAAGTCAGAAATTGGAGCATATCCTCACTCAGAAGGAAAAGACAAGAGTTAGCTGAGAAGGCCATAAAGTACCAACTCGACATTGTTGTACTCTCGTCTACGATACGCCAAAGCTCTGGATTGCTGAACCTCAATGGATGGAAGCGGTTATACTCAGGCGTCGATATCACGACTCGCGCTCAGACCGGTGTTGGTGTTCTGGTTGAACCCAACCTTGCCGATAGAATTATCGATTGGAAGCCTTTCAGCGGAAGGATGGTAATCCTCCCACTGAAGCTACTACAGGCTAAATTGATGACTTTGGTACAGGTCTGTGCGCCCAATTTGAGGGGATATATGAGACCTTTCTTGAGGAAATGCAGTGTGCTCTGTCCGAAGTGTCGAATACAGAGTCCCTCATACTGATGGGCGATTTTAATGCGCACGTCCGAGTATACGCTAAGAAGTGGAACGGTGTGATTCGAGAAAACGGCCCTAACGACCTCAAAGATAACGGCATTAAGTTGCTGCGGTTTTGTGCAAACAGCGGATTGTCCACTACGAACACCTTCCTCGAGCATCGAAGAGTGCATCATTATTCTTGGTACCGGAAATCTTCTGCACGGAACTCGATTATAGATTTGATGATTGTATCGTCTGACTTAAAACGCTCAGTAATGGATGTTTCCGTTCAGAAAGGCGCACAGCTATCAACGGATCACTACCTTGTTGGCACGATGCGCTGTAAGAAATGGAGTACCATACAAAGATCTTGTGTCAGAAGCAACAAGTCAATCAAAGGGGAAGCATTATCATTGCGGAACACGAGAGCAAAATTTGAAAATAACATTGTACGACGGTTTCAGCAGATTCAGGTGGTGACTACTGATGTGGAAACCGAGTGACAGCTCTTTGAGAGAGGCACACTCGAGGCTGCCGCCGAATGCTGCGAATATGAACCTGTTTGGTCTGCCACCTTGAGGTCAGAAAACATCTTCCTTGTGGGCACGAGAGGTACAACTGGCAGTTAAAGAGAAGAAGGAAGCGTTCGACAGCTGGCTTGGAGACAGAGAATTCTACTCGCCTGTGATATGTCGAGGCATGCAAGGCGGCAGCAAAGCAGTGGCGAAAGCGAAAGCTGATTCCTGGAAGAACTTCGGTGAGGTGTTGGAGCCTAATTTCCACACTGCAAACCAGGTATTCTGACAAACCATCCGCCGGCTCCGAGGTGAAAAAAATGGCAGTGTAAGAGTCTTGAAGGACAAGTCTCGATACGGTCTTACCAAGGACGATGGAGAGTCCACTTTGAGGAACTCCTTCACCGTGAGTAACTGCAGGAAGACTCGCCTGTAGAGCAGTGGGGATATTGCTGTCTCTGTAGATGAAATTACACAAGCTGTGAAAAGCTTGAAAAATGGAAAGGCTGCTGGAATTGATGAAATTCGCCGTGAAGTGCTCAAGACGTTAGGCGAACAAGGCATGTGTTGACTTAGACGTATCTTTCAAACTCCGACGACTAAGGGGAACAAACCAGCGGACTGAAGTAAAGGAATTGTTGTAGCCCTATTCAAGAAGATCACAAGGAGTGCTCCAATTATAGGGACATTACGTTATTGAACCTCCCAGCTAATGTATACGCAAAAGTGTTAGGAAGGAGGTGACGTCGAATAACTGACTCAAAGATACAAGAGGCGCAATGTTTATTCCGGTCTGGTCGAAGCACCTCTCACCATGTATTTGCCCTGCGCCAGATTGTTGAGAAAGCGTGGTAATACCTATGACCGGATCCGACGCAACTGTCTGTGGTCATGCCTTCGAGCATACGTGATAGATGGCCAGGTGCTCCAATCACTATATTCTGTAACAGGTGTTGCGTCAGAGTAAATGGCGTTAAGTCGAAACCATTCAACGTTCGCACTGGTCTCCGCCAAGGCTGCGTCC